TTGATTGATTGATTGATTGATTGGTTGATTGGTTGATTTGTTACGATCCTGGCCAATTTTGAAGTCCACAATCATCAGAAAGTACAAAGTTGTCCATTTGCGAAAAGAAATGAATGAACTTGAGCCCAATGCCGTCCAATTGCAAAAGAAATGAAAGAACTTGAGAGGAGACAGAGGGAAAGAAGAAGAAGAAGAATCAAGAAAGAGGAAAGAGATGATGTACTCCAGCATAGACCAAAGATAAAGCTCTTCTTCTTCGCTCAACAACCTCCTCCTCTTTTATCTCCTCCTCTCTTATTCAAACAATAAATAAACAATAATAATGTTGAACAGCTGAACCAGAATCAATGTCCGAATCCCACTTCTACTGYAGGCACAAGATGAGGTCCACCATAGCCATGGCAGCCCTTCTTCTTCCTCCACATACAGGCCGAGGCTATGGCGGACTACTGAGGTTTCAACCTCCGGTACAAAGGACAACCCCAAGCAGCTACCCCGCTGCCCTTCTTCAAGGTCATCACCCAGCAGCTATGCCGCTGCCCACTCAACCGCCATGCCTGACTCTGTCCGAGCTTCCTTGATGCGGCACTACCCCCACTGGGGCCTTCCTGATGCAGCGCCTAGCAAGGAGATCAAGATGGTGTATACCATAGCCAGGTAAGTACCCTACCACTCTCCTCCTTGGTCCCCTTCTCCCTCCTCCTCCTACCGGCTGAGCTCCACCATAGCCAAGGTGGAAGCTCCCGGCTTCTTCCTCCCAGCAGCGCTGTAGAGCCCAGCGCTCCTCCACCTAGCGCTCCAGCAGGGTGACGCCCAACTCGCACACTGAAAATGAGGCGGAGCTCTTGCCTCCGCCTCTATATATAGCGGCCTGCTTGCCTCTTGGGCGGTGACTTCCAGGCCGCTCGGCCTCTCCRAGCAACCGGTACCTCCTCCGTTTCGATGGGAAACATCATTGCAGACCCTGATATTACCCGTACAGGCTCTAGACTCAGACTGGTTGGACTGGTACCGGCCTAGACCTACCCTACCGCTACTGGACTCTAAAAATGCCAACTTTGTCTTTTTCTGCTCGGCCTCCAGTACCCCTCACGTCAACTGCAGTGGGGTGCAGTATCGGCCTACCGGCCCACTTTAGTGTTTTTCCGCTACCCCAAGGGCCTCAGGGCCGCTGGCTTCGCCACTTGAGTGTTTTCCCTGCTACAACCCTCAATGCCACGGCCACAGGTAAGTACCGGCCCTACGGGCCTGCCAAACAAGCAAGTACCCTTGCGGGTCCCACACACACTCATACCAACAAGCACTCAGACACGCATGCAGGTCACAAGCACCCACACACAGACAGACTTAGAAACAACAGCAGAATGCGGGAATCTCATCAAGGCATCCATTCCATCGACAGAACTTCAGAAATCAGCAGTGTTCTCAGTCTGTGTTATGACGGGTCATTACAGATTGATTGGTTGATGGGGTAGGGGTCGCGGGCGCACACACACACACACACACACACACACACACACACACATATAGGTGTTCTCTCTCTCTCTCTCTCTCTCTCACACACACACACACACACACACACACACACACA